AATGATGAAATAAATTTCCTGAAAAATCTATAAGAACAGATTATCAAAATGATGATCTGTGAAATAGTCTGCAGGTTATTTATAATTCAGCAAAGATTTCTGATGGCTCTATTCACCCACCTTCCCAATTCTGTATCATGTAAAGTATAATTCTGCCTTGATATATGAGAAAAACTAAAACTGGAACATTTTAAAGAACAATTTAAACAATGTCCTATCTGCTTGGCATATGAGGTATCTTTGGCAATAAGTCACTTGATATATCTGTATGAACATATTGAGATAAAGCAAATCATTTTTAAGTGTAGTTAAATGAATCTCTGTACTTATCTATTGCAACTCATAACCATTGCTACTATTCAAATATATTAGGGTTGAGCATAACATGAAAATGGAAGCACAAGAAAGATTAGCATTCATGGATCTATAGATGTCTCATGCTACTGGCTTAACCATTTTCTTTAGATTTTTCACAATTATGGTATATTTCATAGCCTGAAATATAATAATATGTAATATTATTGATATGGAAGGCAGACAAATAATGTACAATTATTATTCTAAAATGAAACAGTTTCTGTTTAAAATGTATTTTTATTTATTTTTAATGTATTTTTGTTGATAGTATTATAGATATCTCCCATTTTCCCTTTGCTCCCCTCCTCCCCAACTATTTCTTTTGAATTTTAGACTTATTGATAATTAAGAATGTTTATAGTTAATCTAATATTAGACAGATCATAACCTTGAATATAGCCACTGAAATAAAAATAAACTGTTTGTTAAATGCATCTCTTTAGGAAAATCTCACAAAAGATTGTTTAGCGAGGCTATTTGAAACAATTAAAGGCTATACTTATTTCCAGGCTATAGCAAGAGAAATTCAGTTTGTTTGGAGATTGATCTACCACTACATTTTGGATTGGGGGAGAGTCTCATTTTGATATTCAATACAGCAATTAAATTATAACTTTGAAAGTGAATTCTGTATGGCCCGAGACATGAAGAAACTAATGTGAAAGTAAATAACTATAGAGACAACAGATCATCTCATATATCCAGTGTAAATCTTGGGACAATCTAATAGAAGCCATAGTTGAGAACATGTTAAACTCAAAAATCCTGTAGCCTTTGGGCTTATATGGTTCTGGACTCCCCCTAGTGGTTCAAACTTTTGGTGTTTTAATGGATACTCTTCAGGTCATAGAATCACCAAATTTATTAAAAACAAATTTTAAAAAAGAACCACACAACTCATATTAGACTGATTTTCCACAAAGAGAAGACTATGTTAATGAGTAGTATAATATGTGGATATTACGATAGTTGAAATAATAGTGTTGCAATGGTCTGAAGAGACACAGTGGATTTCACTCACTGACTGGGGAAGCCAGTTATAGTTCTGCTGAGAGTGTGTGATAAGAGCTGAAGGCTCTGGAACAGGATTCTTGGTTGCTCTAAGGTGAGAACTGGACCTTTTAGGGAAAGGGTGAAGTGACTATTTCCTATAATGCATATAACATACAAAATACCTTAATCAAGTGTTCATGTTATTGGTAAGACTTCCGACCAACAATAAGCTATTAGCAGTTAAGTTTTTGGAGCTGACAAAAGTTATACAATGATTTTTGACTGAGTGTGTGTGTTGGTACCCTTAACTCTAGTGTTGTTCAAGGGTAAACTATTTTCATAAGTAGAAAAACAACAACACCCCAGTAACTTAAGCACTCTATCTGCAATCTCAATTTTGAAATCTTATAAATTGGGGTTGCATGTTGGGGTCCAGCCCCAGCAGGTCCAGGGGTTCCCAAAGGTGTGGACGGAGTCAGTGAAGAAGGAAGGACACGGAGGCAGCATTCAGGTGGTCATCATAGCTAGGTTCTCTCTTTATTCTCCTATTACATTTATACCATTTGATCCTATAGGCATGCCTCTATAATCACATCATGGTATGTTTTGGGTAACGTTCTACAGTTCCTTGTTTCTTATCTGACCTTTGCTAAAAATCCTGTCTCTATCTAGTTCTGTTGATTTTAATCTTGTCTAGGTTAATCTCTGTTTCCATTACAAGGGCTATTCCAAGGTCACTGCTCTACTGATAGGCTACAAGGAAGTGACTGAAGGAGATTATCCTACCCAGTAAAGGTTATGTCCTCCCAGCCTCACTGCTTGCCTTCCCTGGGACTGCCCTGTGTCCGTGGGCCTCCAGGGGTATAGGCTTTGGTGCTTTCCCTGGTGGGCAGACCCCTGGGGATGTGGGCCCAACAAGTCCCAAATTTATTGCCAACAGTCTTAGTCCAAGTTCTTCATAAGTAGTACATGGTATTTCTGTAACACTAGGGGGATTTACTGATTTATTCTCTTCCTTAGTCCTGTTAATCCCTAACCTGGGGAAACAACCTTTCTTGGGGAGGTGGTCCTGTTTAAAACACATGGCGCTAAGAGGGGGAGCAAAACATATGCCATATACGCCAGGTCCCTTGAAACATAAGCTGTGCAGATATTTCTTCCCTGCAGCGACTGTGTCAAGCAGCAAGGGTGGACCGGCTTCCGGCAGTTGCACAGATCCCACCGCCCAGGACCAGCAAGCTAGGAGCCCACGAGTTTCAGTGCCCATTCGGACTTTCACAATCAGAGATGGCAGCAAAGGCGGCATCATCAGGAACTGCCACGCCTTGTTCTTGTCATCCAGTATACGCAAGATACTGGCAACATTATCATCAAGCAGTGGCTTGGATGCGAAGCCACCAGAATGCCTATCTGAAGGCCATAAAGTCTTATTTCAGTTCTCCGTGGTACTTCACTCCGGGAGATCTTCCCCAGAGCTCTTATGCTAAGAAGGGTGGATCTTCTCAGTCCTTCTGTGACCATCACTTGGCCTCCCAGGGCTCCCACTGTGGTTATTCACCTTCTCCAAGGTCTGGGCACCGTCCTCATGACAGCACAAGCGAAGACCAATCTTGGTCCACAGAGGAGGCGACGGAGACCGGCTCAGATGCTGGGGTGGAGTACGACCTGAGCAGCATGGAGATCACGGAGGAGCTCCGCCAGTACTTTGCGGAGACCGAGAGGCACAGGGACGAGCGGCGGCAGCAGCAGCTGGACGCGCAGCGCCTGGAGGACTATGTGAACGCCGACCACCACCTGTATTACAAGACACGCCGCTCCGTGGAGCCCCCCTCCGAGAGCCCCAGCGAGCGGCGCCGGGCCGACATGAAGCGCTTGTGCGGGGACAGCGCTGCCAAGATCCAGGCCATGGAGGCCGCCGTGCAGCTGAGCTTTAACAAGCACTTTGACCGAAAGCGGCCCAAGTACTGGCCGGTCATCCCGCTGAAGTTCTGAGCCCTGGGCCCCCAGCCATCCCCTTCCTCTGGGATTTGCTCCTTCATCTGCTTCTGTGCATTTGCTCAGGGAAAGGGGGCTTTGTCCTGAGAAATCAGCTTGTTCACCAAAGTGCCAGTGAGCCTGTCAAGGGATGGAGGTGGGCGTGCGGGTGGAGGGGGGGAGGGGGGGGATACGGAGAGGGGAGGGATAATGTAATATGTCAGCCTTTTTAAAGTAGCAGGGCGTGTACTGTTGTCTGCATGAGAGATTTTCCTTTGACATAAAATGATAATTTCATATGCAAAAAACACACACACAACAAAAAATAAAAAAAAATTGGGATTGCCGTGAAGGTGGGAAAAATAGAGGTCGGAGATGTGAGTAGGATAACAACAAGGCATATTTTTTATTTTGAACATCTGTAGCTCTTTCTGATGTGCAGAATTTTAAAAGATAGGAAATGTATTCCAGCTGATAAGAGTCATTCCCTGTGGCTAGAGGAGAGGAAAGGTGGAAAGAGAACAGCAGGGAGGTTAATGTAGACAGGCATCACCTCTAATACTGGTATTACTGTGCCCCAAATAGACAATAATCACGTATCGCATGGATAGAAGAGGTTACAATTAAGTTGTTGTCAAAGAACATTAAAGGGAGTAAATCAGGAACCTGAATAGAATGTATTGGTGTGCCACAATACGTCGGATGGCCTGGTTTCCCTTCGTCAAGGGATTTAAAATGCTACACGGGGCTTCTCTCTCGCTATGCTGGCGCTTTTCTATGCGAAGGGCAAGCCTGAACCTTCCAAACAGGTTGGAACCCGGGTTGTCGAAGGCATCAAAGATGTTATTTCTCAGGTACTCAAGTCACCTAAGACATTCGTACCGAAGCACTCCAAAATACTGTGCCTATGGGGACAGGAGAGGTTTCCAAGGATTAAGGAAAAGACAGACAAGAGAATAATAGCTGGGTCTCGGTGGGACGCTGCCTCCCTGATGAGGAGACAACGACAGCGCCCACAAGCCGTGTCTTTATTTTATAGCAGATGCCACGAGGCAAAGTAGGGGCGTGATCACGTTGTTTACAGCATTCTCCTGAGCTCCAACCTCACTCAACTATATGCACCCGAACTCTACCACAAGGCACGTGGGGCCACCTGTTTGGACCATAGGTTCAAGCTTACTACCACAGCCGTTGGCTATGATTGTGCTGGGTGGGCCCTGCCCTCCAGCTGGGACTTGCACGTGGCAATGAGAGGACCCTGTCCTTTCATTAGTCCGAGGCTTGGACCTGGCCAAAACACCGTAACAGGATTTTAAAAAGATTCCCAAGTGATTCTACTGTGCAGCCGAGGTTGAGAACCACTGCTCTAGGCTGACCTTCAAGGCACAGGTGGTGATGCTCCGGGAGAGCCCGGGAGAGCGGCCAGGTGGTGGCTCGCCACACCACCGAGTCATTAGACCTGAGACCGAGAGAAGTTAGCTTCCGCTGCCTCCCAGACGCCGGGAACGATTTGCCCGTAAAGCTATGGAATCGCCGGTACGTCATCAAACCCGACACCACAACAAACTACACCCCAGACCCAGATCACCGTCTAACTTCGCGATTGGCCCTTTTGGCCTCCACTCAGAGGCCGGTGACTCTCCTGGCGCATGCGCGTCACCTGCTTCCGGCCGGGTGCTCGGTGCGCAGGCCTTTCCGGCCCGGGTGCAATTCCTACCCCGCTTTCCTCGGCCAGGTTCCTCCGTGAGCCATGGCTCCCGACCCAGGCCCCCTGCCCGAAGGGCCTATCTTAGAGCTCCTACCCGTAGACACTCGGGACCGGGGTACCCAGCGTTGCCGCCTGGGCCCGGCAGCCTTCCGTGCCCTGGGCGCGCACTTGGGCTCGGCGGTGAAGATCTCGCTGCCGGACGGCGGCTCCTGCCTCTGCACCGCCTGGCCGCGGCGGGACGGAGCGGACGGGTTTGTGCAGCTGGATCCGCAGTGCGCGAGCCCGAGATCGGCGGCCGGGACGCCGGGGTCCCGGGGGAGCCTCAGCCTGAGCCACATCCGCCTGGTGCCCTGCCCGCCCCTCCGGCGCCTCACCGTGTGGCCGGAGTTGCGCGAGCGGGTGGGCGCGCCCTGGGTCCCGAATCCAGCCGCGGTGCTGGAGGCGGCGCACGAGCTGCTGAGGAACCGGCCGGTCTCCCGGGGCCACGTGGTGGCCGCTCCGCCCGGCATCCCGGGCCCGGTGGCCGCCCTTCACATCGTCAGCGGGTGCCCGCCCCGGACCCGGCCGGGTGGGTCACCCCTCACACCCTCATCAGTCTCAGCGGGGCGCCTCCGTCCCAAACGCACCGCAGCCCGAGGTGCCGCTGGGGGCCCTTTCGGAGGCGGCCGACTCGCTGCGGGAGCTCCTCCACCTGCCGCTCCGCTACCCCCGCACCTTGGCCGCGCTGGGACTGTCAGTGCCCCGCGGGGTGCTCCTGGCGGGGCCCCCGGGAGTGGGCAAGACCCAGCTCGTGCGGGCCGTGGCCCGGGAGACGGGCGCGGAGCTGCTGGCGGTGAGCGCCCCCGCGCTGCAGGGCGCCCGGCCCGGGGAGACGGAGGAGAACGTGCGGCGGGTGTTCCAGCGCGCGCAGGGGCTGGCCGCCCGCGGGCCCACCCTCCTCTTCCTGGACGAGGTGGACGCGCTGTGCCCCCGGCGGGGCGACGCGCACCAGGCCCCCGAAAGCCGCGTGGTGGCCCAGGTGTTGACGCTGCTAGACGGCTTCAGCGGGGACCGCGAGGTGGTGGTGGTGGGAGCCACCAACCGGCCAGACGCACTGGACCCAGCGCTGCGCAGACCTGGGAGATTTGACCGAGAGGTAAATAGGCGCGGCCAGTTACCCCCTTGCCCCTGGAACCCCGTCCTCTCCTGGCCCTGGTTGGCTTCCCCGAGGCCTTTGCCATTTAGGTTTGGAACTCGGTGAGGCTGGAGGGGGGCTCTTTGCCGTGCAAAGAACACCTCGGTTCTCTGTCCACATGTGATCTGCAAGCAGGACGTGTTTCTCCAGGGTCACATTGTTCTGAGAAGCAAGGTGCTCATTAGGGGACAGTTTTGTTGTGCAGAAGAATACTAATCCGGTAATGCTTTTTAGGGGAAGTAGGTTTGCTTACAGGCGCATTAAACTCTAATGAATTTAGAATGAGAATTTAAAGTAAAAGGATAGCCTCGAAATATAAATGTGATAAAATGAAAGGGTGAAGGCAGGGAATAACGAAATCGGAGCAGATATAAACTCATCTGGATTTATTCCTTGCTTGTGAGGATGCCAGCGTCCTATCCCGAGTTGCCAAGGAAGGTGGAGTATTCAAAGCTGACCTGTCTTATAGGCTTCAGTCTTAAATTGATTCTTGATTTCTATTCAATAGTTTGAATAGTGTTTAAGTGATGTTTGAACTTTGTGGTAGGATTCTAAAGAGACAGTTGATAATTGCATACTTTTACCTTAATTTGGTCTGAACTTGAGTGGATTTTGTCCTTTCACTAACTAATACCACTTTCCCAAATCAGCTCCATAAGGACTGGGCCCTAGACTATCTGGTTTATTGTTGTATCACTGACTCCTAGAATTTGGTGCGGTCTCAAAAATGACAAATAAAAATTTGTTAAATGACATATGTAATTTTCATTGTGCAACTTTTTAGCCAGGGTTACTCTTCTGGAAAATTAGGATTTTCATATGTTCAGAATCTGAGGTATGCTTAAGAGTACATAGTAATAATTCCTAATTTGCTCACTAAATTATTGTACATGTTTGTGAGGATATAAAGAAATATGTTAACCTGGCAGAGTGGCTCAGTTGGTTGAGCATCTTCCCAGACACCCACAACGTTGTGGGTTTGATCCCTGGGAAGGGTGACACTGGATGCAATCAGTCGATGTTTCTCTCACACATCTGTGTTTCTCACTCTCTCCCCCACTGCCTCTTTTCTTAAAATCAATAAAAATATCCTGGGTGAGTATTTAACAATAATAATAATATTTGAAACTACAAACATTATTTTTTGCTTTGCATGTAGGTTGTCATTGGGACTCCCACCTTTAAACAAAGAAAGGCAATTCTTCAGGTGATTACTTCTAAGATGCCCATCTCCAGTCAAGTCGATTTGAGCCTCCTTGCAGAAATGACAGTTGGCTATGTTGGCGCAGACCTGACCGCACTCTGTAGGGATGCTGCCCTACACGCTTTACATCACAGTGAGAAGGTAGATGCTCATGATATATAGTGATATTTTTCTCTATGCTGACTGATGTGATAGACACACAGTATATATAAATAGGGGTGGCTGTCCATATCTAAAAGAAAGT